GCCTGCTCCCAATACTTCCGGGAGGTGTTTAGCAATGAGACTGGCGGCCATTTTCTTCAAGTGATTGAAATCAGCGAGACACAACCAGAAACCTTCAGCCTTGTTCGGGATTGCGTGTATGGTGCCAAGGAAGACTTCACGGTTGACAACGTGAAAAGTATCTGGGATGCGGCTCAACATCTTCAAATTGATTTTCTTTGCGAGGCTTGTGAGAGGTTCCAGTATCAACGTCTGTCAAAGGACTGCTGTGTGGATATCATCATCCACGCCAAGAAAGTCAACGCAGGGAGATTGTTGGATAAGGCAAGGGAGATAATGATAAAGGAATTCGACTACCTCAGAAAACAGGATGATTTACTTGCACTTGATTTTGAAGAATTGAAACTACTTGTCGGCAATGACCATCTTGAGGCTAGATCGGAGGATGACGTAGTCGAGACTATTCTGAGGTGGACAAACTTCCATAGTAGTGATGACAATCCAGTACAGGATACGACTGTTGGCTCAACGAGGCCAAACTCGAAGGTTGTAAAGAACATGCTGCCAGAGCTACTCAAGTCTGCCAGGGTATGTCTGGTCAGTGCCACTTTCCTAAATTCCCTTTTGGATGACAGGTGTGTTTTTAAAAGTCCGGCCGCATTTGAAATTGCACGTGAAGCTCTGAGGTATCAGCTTCAACCTGGAAGACGTCATGACTACTGTCCACCTTACGCCATGCACAGAAACAGGAGTCCACTACAGAACGTCACGGTTGCTGTAACCGTGGACGCCAATGGAACCTACAGAATGTCCTGTAGAACTCCTGATGGAACCTGGTATAGGATTACCCAACCTGCACTGTTTAAAGTCAGCGCAGTTACCTATGACAACGACCTATACATGGTTTCCGCGTGCAGTAATGTCCAGGCCACACTGCGATACAGCACGTCTAGTAATACTTGGGTCAAACTGACCAACCTGTCGATCCAACGAGATGGAAGCGTTCTTGTATGCGTGGACAATTACGTCTACGCCGTTGGTGGGACCAACAACAAATCTATTGACAGATTCGATGCCCAAGAAGAACAGCGAGCTCCCGATTCTGTAACGTGGGAACAAGTTGGTGACCTGCAATGGGAGGTGACCAACGTCATGGCTACAGTCTTCGGAAAGTACATCGTGGTATTTGGAAAGAAAATTAACAGCACTGTGACCACTGTCCAAAGCTTTAATACGTCAACTATGACGACAAGCGTCTACACAGACAGCTTCATGGGTGATAACACACCCATGGTCAGTTTCAAGAATGGTAAAGACACTTTTGTTCTTCAAGAGACGGGAGACTTGTGGAAGGTGGTCAACTGCGACAACCAAGATTTGAAAATGGAGTTCCGAGGGAAGTTGTTTGATGATAAGTTGTCACTTCACGGAGCGGTAGTCTTTAACAGAGAACTCCTTATCCTGGCAACTGGCTTCAACCGGCAGATGAAGATGAATTTTAGAACCAAGAAAATAGACAATGTCTCCAGTGTTAATATTATTGAACGCAATGGCGTATGCCTTCTCAACACTGTCATTGCAAGAAATTTCTTGACAACACAGGAAGCGTCAACAAGAAATTAGAAACAAATGTTAAACAAGAGCAAGACAAGTTGGTTTTGTGTCTTAGAAACTGTCAACATTTTTACCTTCTTCCACATAGCCCTCTTCAGGAACCACCTAATAACTGTTTAGCACATGCTTGCATTCTATTTCGATTATGAATGTTGTAGGAGTTTGACGTTTCATTTTCTTCATCTATTTCACACATTTTTTTTTGTCCATTCCTTTTAGAATTAAGCATGTTCTGTTTTATAACAGATTGTCTTGGGGTGGCAAAAAAAGAACATTTGAATTTGATTTTTTCCATAGATTCGCAAAGTATCAACCATTTTAGTTTTAGTGTATTACTAAATTCATATCTGTGTTATATTAAATCTTATATTGCGTGCTCAGACATGAGTGGAAACACTTCTTGTATTCATGTTTTATCATTATCCAGAGCAAAAACAAATAAAATATCTGTTTGCAATGTTATTAGATATTTTATTGAATTTATTTTTAAACTGTTAATCACAAGTATCCAAGTTTTATCATTTCATTTTTTTTAGAAAATAGCATATGATTTGAATGTATTTTTAAGATACTTTTTTTAAAATTAAAAGTGTACCCCCCATAAAACATGTTTAATTTTGTGCTACTGAACAGCATGCATGAGGTCTAACTTTGTTGTTGTTAAAATTCACAAAGTTTTTCTAATAACGAATAAATGAATAAGTTAAAATAAAATAACATTACAATATTAATAATAACACACACAATTTACAGCTTAAAGCAATTTTTTTTTTTTTTTTTAAATTTTACTTTGTGACTAAATAAATAGTTTTTAAAAAGTCTTATCTACTGGCCTTCAAAGTTGAGGTTTTACTGTTNGGGCTGCGGGATAGGGGGGGGGGGGAAGATTTACAATTTTAAGTGGATTGCGACAGACCCAGTTTAAGATATGAATGTACACGTTTTTCAAATGTCGCCACTTATATCTCTGAAACTTTTTAAAATCATTTGACCAACTGTCCAGCTCCGGTGCAGGGTAATGGTTTGAACCAATGGTAGAATTAAATGGCTTACGTTTAGGTCTTGTATCTCAGAGCTGAATTAAAACTATATTGTCAATAAATGGTCCCAAAAAACAGACACAACACAGGTGTTAAATTGAATTATTAAGGGAGAAATATCTAGTGGTTAGGCCACACAGGGGTCACAATGAATGATACAGGACAAAAATATCTGGTAGTTAGTTAAAGCAAAGACACCACACGGGGTGGGGGTTTTACAATGAATGATCCAGGACAAAAATATCTGGTAGTTAAATATACATGTTTTATAAAACACTGCAACATTTAATGAGTTGTGATTTAAGAACAAGTATTTAAATAAGTGGAGAATCAAACTGAATTATAATTGTTTGGAATGTTAGTTCTTTTAGCACAGGCAAGAGTTTCTCTAAATTTAATTATTTAAACATAAGTTAATGATCAATTACACCAATGGACAGGAGAAAATTCAATATTCAATAAAATTTTACGATGTTTAAATATTTCATTTCATTATTTATACCGTGAAAAGTTCTATCTTTTTTTTTTTCCCAACAGAAGTTAAGCTTTGTTTGCATTTTTGGAAGAAAATAACAAAATTATTAAAAATTTGATTAAAAACATTCCCAGTTAAGGTTCTGCTTACCATAAAATATTTATAAACAATGGGACATTTTTCTTGCCATTAATTAGCTATCATTGTCAGCTGCCCGTAAGCTTCAGCGTAAAACATACATTGCACATTGGTTGGCTTTTTTTTACATAACCATAACATAAGTCATGTAAGCTGCATCATCTGCATAGTGTACATTAATTAAAAAAACATGAAATGTAGGTTATGGTAAAAATACATACAAAAAAATGTATACCTTACCTGAACAACAAATTGTTGAGCACGTACACTAAAAACAATAAAATCATACACCAGTTTCACTACTCACACGATGTACAGCTACATAAATATATTAGTTAAATTAGATTAGTATATTAAAAAATCAACTTGGAAATTTTAAAAGGCACTAAAAAGTTTGTAAGAATCCAATGCCATTGAAGCATAGCACAATGTTATTCAAAGGATATAATGTGATACAATATGGGTAAGAGGCCTTTTTTATTCTATTTAATCCTAGGCTAATTATATAATTAATAATAAAATAAAATAATTGATGCAGAAAGTTATTATGGAAATGACAGCAATGACTAATTAACACACATTCTGGTGAAGTCCTGAGATTACTCTCTTATGACCCCCGCTAGTGCAGTGGAACCCCGCTATAACACGATGATCAGGGTCCATAAAATTGGATCGCGTTAAAGGCGGGATTGCAGTAATGTGCGGTTTTACAATATTTAACTTTTTTCCCAGAACATATACGTGTATACTATTTATAATTCTACCGGATGAAAGCCTAGTTTTCGGCATTAATTTTGATACTAGTTTGAACGTGGTGCGTTTAGGGGCTCATTTTCTACAATATTTTAAAAAGTTTTGATTTTTTTTCGCTTTAAAAAATGGCTTTCCAAGCAATGGATAAAATTTTCAAAGAACTTAGGCCTGATGGAGTAAATGAATTTCAAATATCGGGAGCCATGCTACGACCGCGTTATATCCAAATTCGCGTTATAGCGGGGTTCCACTGTACATTGAATACCAGCTCTATCTGTTGAGCTGAGCCATACAGCAATCCCTAAAAAGTGGCAAAACAATTTGCTATATTAGACATTGACAAACTTTTTTATATCTTCTTGACACAATCAAATAAATATCCACATTAAACAAATAGCCACATTTATTTGAAGAGTGTATTAAAAAAATCATCCCTCTATAAAAAAGGCATGGCTTAGTCTTATTCTAACATTCTATTCTTATGTGCTCTAGACAGCTGCATCAAACTGCATAAAGACCAGCATGAAGAGAGAACTTCTGTCCTGGTAATATATTCATTTTTTTTAAACAAGTTATTCCAAGTAATAAAATTTTTTCATGGACATGATGTTAGCCATACACCTCGCCACGTCTTATGATAAAAATTTTTTAACAGACTTCCATATTTTTTTGTCATAAATAACCTTGAGTGATTATTGAATCAAATAGGCTGTTTCTATTTTAGTCATTGTAAAATAATGAAATAAATGTTTTAAGTTTTTTGAAATTCACGTTCTCACCATTCCTAGAACCATGCTTCTTCTCTGAATGCGTTTTAAGTTATTAATATATATATAATAAATGTGTTAATTCTAAGGTGATAACAAAATGATGTATTAAAAACATTATTTTTTAAAACCTTTATATACTAAAAAACAAATCAGACAATGCCCTATTTTTAATTAACAATTCATTTCACATTACATATATGTATATATAACATAAATGTCAAGTGGATTTCTGCTCAATTAAATTCACCAATAATTAATTCATTAGCCATGTTTTCAAACACTTAAACAGAAACAAAAATATGTATAAGATTATTTTAGTTAGTAAATTACAAACAAATATTTCAAATTTTATACTTATAAATGTATATTTATAGGAAATTTAGAAAGAAAATCTAAAGGCAAATGATTTATTTTGCCAGAGATTTTGGTTGTAAAATTGAAAGATGTTAATTGGGGGAGGCGGTTGGCAGGATAAATCATGAAGAAAGTGCAAGATATGCTCTGTAAGTTAACACAGGCGAGGGAGAAAATAAAATAAATGTATGATCTATTTTTTTTTTTTTTAAATTTTAATTTTAAAATAAGAGGTAGTAATATTCTTTAAAAATTCACACAGCATGAAAGTCAAGGAAGTTTAATATTTATACTGAAAGACCATTTGTCGGCATTTGATAAATATTTTATAACATTTCTGAGACATGTCAATGACAACTGAATTTATGCAAGAAATAAAATTGCATGTGTATCCAATTTTGAAATATATCTTAAATAGTAAACAATGTACTAACGTATTTGTGCATTGAAGGAGTCAAAGTTAGGAAAGACTTTTAATAAGAGTTAAGATCAGGGACTCTCAAAATTTGATAACGGTTCCCTTCGAGAAATTTTCCAGTTAAAAACAATCTAATTTTCCCTATCTTGAATTCTATTTAATATTTGCTTGAATTAATTCATAAGTTTCTGTTAATATTTAATATAAAGGGGAAAAAATTAAAATGACATTTTACTTTGATAAAGTCGATAAGGATTGTTAAAAAAAAATTGTTCTGAGAAATAAAAAAAGCAAAGTTGCTTTTATAAGATAATATTGTAACCACCTTTGGCATCGGTAGATTATCAACAGTGTATTGAGCAAAAATAGACCAATATTAGTTCATTAGATAATGCACGGTTTCGATATGCTAAACAAAATTGTCGACCATGTGTGGCTGTGGTTGTCGACAGGAAAACCATGCTTAGAGCAAGTGTAATTTATTCCCCACTGGCATATCATTAAAAAAATCTAAAAACTACCAGTAGTTCATAGAATACAGACAGGTGAAACACTGCTCAGGGATGAAATTATGGGAATTCCTGAAAAATTAAAGTAAGTGACTATTGAAACTGGACTTTACTTGACCCGTCCACATCACTTCCTTGAATGGTGTACTCCAGGTCAGGGTCAGGCGGCTCCACAATCAGAACCTGTGTGCTGTTCCTGTTAACAATCCTCTCGTACTCAACATCAGTGTCGGGGAACTGACTTACAGAGCTCTCTAGAGTGGGGGATTTGAACAGGCGGGTGATCTCCGAGATGCTCTTGCCCTTGGTCTCTGGGACAAACATGTAGGTGAAGATGAAGAAGAGGGCCAGCATGACCGAGAATGGCAGGAAGGAGTATGTCTTTATAGCATTCTGTTGATGAAAGTAAAAGTCAAGTATTGCTATTGATGAAGTAAGGAGTAAAGGGTCATTGTGATGTACTTAAATGAGAGAACTCAAAAATATTCCACAGCACAAGTCAACTTTTATAGTCTTGACTCAGGAGTAAGCCAATCCAGTTTCCAATAAGCTTTTTTTTTTTTTTTTTATTTTCTCAACTATAAACCTGAAATTGCTGTGCCAGAGAAACTGCAAGTCCAGTATCAGAGAAACCTGAAATTGCTGTGCCAGAGAAACTGCAAGTCCAGTATCAGAGAAACCTGAAATTGCTGTGCCAGAGAAAACTGAACGTGCTGTGCCATAGAAGCCGGATTCCCAACACTTCACATTCTTTTCTTCATTCAATTTCCAAAAGATAGTTGAGATTGAGAGTAATTATTTCCACTATTAGTAGCATGTGTTGATCAATCATTTACACCAATAGTGGCATATATTGATCAATTATTTCCACTAATGGTGGCATATATTGATCAATTATTTCCACTAATGGTAGCATATATTGATTAATTATTTCCACTAATAGTAGCATATATTGATCAGTTATTTCCACTAGAGACATAAGATGAGCCAGATCATTGTCTTTATCAGCTGAGCACTAATACATGAAAACATGTCACTCAAATGTAATGTGCAACATAAAAAATACTTTTTGTCATGGGAGCATATCAAGGATTGTCTTGGTTAAAATTGCATAACCCTCTGTAAGTGCATGAAAATAATTGCACAAATCTTAGCTTTAAAAAAATATAAAAAATCTCATATTCTTCACAGATGAAGAAAAGAACTGCTTTGCAAAAAAATTAAACAACCGATCCATTTAAAAAACAAAAAACAACTACATTTTCCCAACCTGAAGCACGGGAAAGATGATGCCAACTGTGAAATTACACAGCCAGTTGACCACCACGGAAACACCAACTGCCGCTGTACGGGGACTTTGGGCAAACAGCTCAGCTACCATGAACCAAGGTATGGCGCCTGGAAATGAGTCATGTTAACAATGGTGTATAGTGAGGCTGTTGACGAGGTCAACTTCTACATATGATAACTGCTTTAATAAAGAGAAGTCATGATTTATTCAAAAACATGTTTATATTATGTAGAGTAGAAATGGTAATAGAAAATGCACTTAATTTAATAAGAAACCATAAAGTTGAATGCAGTAATATGGTAAATCCCCCCCCCCCAAATCACTTTTTTCCCATCCATCCCATAGGTTTAACTGTTTATATCTCCAGGGGCACATTTATAACTCGGAAATAGAAAGGCTCCGGCTGAGTAGAAAAGGTAAAAAAAAATGCACTTTAATTAAAAAGAAACCATAAAGTTGAATGCAGTAAAATGGTAAAACCCCCCCCCCCCCAAATCACTTTTTTCCCATCCATCCCATAGGTTTAACTGTTTATATCTCCAGGGGCACATTTATAACTCGGAAATAGAAAGGCTCCGGCGGCTCGCTTGCCCTTGTGTTGGGTGTTACGGCAGGAGATTTGATTACAGCTGAATTTAATGGGTCTTATTTTGAGGGTTTTATTGGAGCCACCCTTTTGTTTCGTCTTGAGCAATAAATTAGAGTAGCTAAGGAGAAGACAGGAGCCATCATGGCACCTATTTAGTCCTACAATAAATACTGTGGATAGTACATCAGAGGAAACCATATTATTTGATTTCTCCAAATAACAGTGGCCTACTTAAAAACTCTTATGGGGTGAGAGTTTTACGCTTTGGCTGGGAGGAGGGTCATGTATTAGGGACATTAATAATGTCCCCACCACATTTTTTTTTATTGAAGCATCATCTTACACTGCTATACTATCTAAAAATGTATGTTCGGCCATTGGAAGGGTGTTACCTCAACCGACCATGGTGGGAAGCAGGGGTTAAGTCTTGGTAAAATTAACCGTGACTCACCCAAGACACCCACCCCTCAACCACACACAAAAAAAGAACAAGAAATTTCTTTTTTTTAAAACAACTACAAGAAGGATGTTTCAGTGTGCTCCTACAAGCCTACAAGACTTTAGTCCTGGTGGGAAGTGAACCAATTGCAGATGCTAGTGATTAAAGAAGGTTTTTATTAAAGTAGACAGAGTTTAAGTTTTAAAATCATGCATTATTTGATTAAAATTTTACTGTCGCAACAACAATATTTTCCCCTGCATGACGCAAGGACACATCAACTGCAGTGAATACGTACCTGGGCCAGTGGCAAAGAAGATGATGTAGACTATGACGGCAACAATACTGATATAGGATAGGACTGGGGACTGAAAGGGAGAACATTATCCTTTTGAAGAATTTTTATATTTTCATATAATAAAGTTTCCATAAGAATCTAGAGAACGTCAAGTACAACCCTATCACAAGTCTGACTGACAGGTGTATGTGAATATTTCACTGGAACTTTGTTCTGTAGATGTAGAAGATCATAAATTATTTTTATGATCAAAGTCTTTTGCATATTTAAATACGTATCTGAAGGTAGACGGTGACTCTAAAATGCTGTATTTTGGCTTTTTAAAATCATGTTTTAATATAACAGGTTGACAAAGGTTATATATACATATATATGTGTGTATATTTATATATATGTATATATGTGTATATATATATATATATATATATATATATATGTGTGTGTGTGTGTGTGTGTGTGTGTGTGTGTGTGTATATATATATATATATATATATATATATATATATATATATATATATATATTTTTATCTTACAATAATGTAATAATCTTAATCCTTTATTTAAGTAACATGAATGAAATAAAGCTGCAAACTTGTCAAGCTAAAAAATTACTTTAATGTTACTCAATTTGATTCGTTCCCTTGTAAAGGTTGAGCCTAGACTCTTATGACCTTGGCTAGCATCTTACAGTCAAGCCTCGCAAAAACAGCCATCACCATAATTTATACTATCAACACAGGCATACCCGTAAAAAAAAAACACTGCTATCAAAGCACCCAATCAGTAGGTGTACATACAATAAAGATATAAAATAAACCACTGTTATTTAAACTTAATTTACCAGTGGCTGAATCTTCTTACCTGTAAGGAAAGACACACCACCAGAACAACAGAGAAGATGCACATCCCACCGAGGCCGATCAAATGCAGCGTTCTTCGGCCGGCGCGGTCCATGATCAAAGCTGATACAAAGGTCATCAAGACATTCACCAACCCGGTGCCCACGGTTGCGTACTGCGACTCTTCTTTGCTCAGTCCGGCCGAGCTAAAGATGTCTGTTGAGTAATAGATCACCTGGTGGGAGTGGGAGAAAGGGGGCGTGTCAAATGAGATAGCCATAAAAGTATCTACGATAATGAAAGACGTACTGATATAGCCACAGTGCTGCTAATGCAAAGCATAAAAAAAAATGTACCCTTTTCCATGCTTTCCTTTTTACCAGACACTACAGGAATAATGATAAGTATAATATACCAATCTGTCAAGATATACAAATGTGACAAGTACCTGGTATATTGTAATATGTATTGAATTCCTTCCTTCATACACAAACAACTATTTATAGGATACACATCCAACCAAATTTGATTGAAATCTACATTATACAATTGGCAAACAATCAATACTTATAATTCTCTAGGCATGATGAAAGTATGGTGTAATGCTGAGTTCATGAATGCGCAAAATAAAATTACCAATAACTGTGCTAAATGAGATTCTTTAAAATACTGCAAGTGCGTTAGGTGCATAACATTTTATTTACTTTTTTTTTGGAAATCAAAATAGACTCAATTCAATATGGTATAATAAATCTTCAGTGTATAAGGTGGTAGGACAACAGACTATTAATATAATTTAGAGACTTACAAAAACAAAGTGCAACGGTGTACCCAGGGGGAAGAAAGTGTTGCGCTAATTGGAATACTTTTAAAAAAGTGCTTTTAAAAAAGTGATTTAATTGAGTACATGTTTTGTCAAGTAACTTCAGTAGATGGGAATTTTACGCATTGCCACATCCATAGTTTGGCAGGCTGTAGAAAATAGTAAAAATATTTATGCACAACTGCTCGATTTTTAGTAATCAAGAGATAATTTTAAAATTTCTGACCACCGAGAATTCCATACAATTCCTTAATGAATTGTTCTATAAAATTCCTTAATGAAGCAATATCACCACACAAAAAAGGAGCTTTACCGCATTTATGCCAGAAAACTGTTGAGACATCTGGAGCACTATACAAATGATAAGTGGCCATCTTAGTGAACTGGTGCTCCACAGATCCATCACACTGAACTGGTGCGTACATGGGGAAATTTTAATATATGATAAAATATGAATAAATGCTCTGGGCATATGGCCTAAAAAAAACTATTTAAAATAGTGACACATGATGATTATGTTAAATAAATTATTGGGCTGTAGGGAACATGCTAAAATGGCTACTAGTTATGAATTATGATCATATATAAGTCACCAGGGAATTACTAAAAAAAAAAATGCCAATAACAAAAAAAAAAAAAACGATTAACATATTATTATTGCAGAAATATCATAATCATCAATAAAATCATGAAGTATAAATTCACATGTTAGGGAACATGCAAAAATGGATACTAGTTATGAATTATGATCATATAAAAGACACCAGGGAACTACTAAAAAAAAAAATGCCAATAACAAAAAAAAAAAAAACGATTAACATATTATTATTGCAGAAATATCATAATCATCAATAAAATCATGAAGTATAAATTCACATGAATGTAAAAATAAAAAATTAAATTGTCAACTTGAAATGCAAAAACTGGGAAAAACCTTGGGAGAGTTCCTAAGCTCCACCCTCTCTTTCCTCATGGCATCCATTTCATCTGATACATCATCTGTTTTCCTCAACCAAACAAGAGCTGACGGCAAACAAAATTTAATAACATATTACAGTTTATTTAGTAACAAAACTTTGGTTCCAAGATGCCAAAACAAGTCATGTCAGTTTTGACATTTTTTTTTTTATTTGTGGAAAAAGCATCAAAAGTGGCAAACTGCTGCTAATACCATATCTTTAAGTTTTGCATCACAATGACATTGTTTATTTTCACTCTAAATATCTAAATATCAAAGTTGCTTAACCCAAATCTAAAATAAAAACACACTCAAAACGGCTTCACTTACCAGCTTCTGCAGCAGCATCATCTCCCTTGTTTACTAACAAATACTTGGGTGATTCTGGACACCAAGTCAAGGTCAGTAGGCTATAAATAGCTGGAACAGCGGGACAAGCTGCAGAAGGAGAGGCATCAGAAATAATCTTCTTTCTAAGAAGTGAAACATTATTTTTAGACCATTTTTGTAAATAGGACGTTAAAGCAATTTTTGGTGTAAGGGAGGTTGTGAGCATGGTCGGGTTGTGCATGAAACAGTTGTAGATTGTGAATTGGCAAGAGGTTTTGTGAGGGCCAGTTGTGATTGGTCGGGTTATGCAAGGTCAATAAACAAGTTTGGTGAACAGATGCTGTGTGGTCACAGGTCGCAAGTGAGTCATCAGGGTCATTGGTGGCTATAGTTGGAGAGTTACCATCCCAGTACGTCGAGTCGTGTTAACAGTGTGCCCAGAGGATGTTTGTGACCTTACCATTACTGCGGTGCTAAGAGGAGCGTGTAAATAAAGGACCCTGTTCTTTCAACCTGGTGTTTTATTGCTTATCCTTGACGTCAAGCGTGAACTAGATCATGCTTGATTCAATGTACAGAGCTGTTCCCTAGACAAAAAAAGGTGTATCAAACTGCCTGCTCAGTAAATGTAACCACAGCAGGAGTTTATTTAATTGTGACCTCGTCCTAACCAGGAAGTTTGCAACAGTAAGAACATGTCATCAGTGTAAGATAGAGTAAGTTGCTAGCATTAAAAAATCAGTCTGTGCCCTTTGTACACATAGCGAATAATAAAAAATAAATAGTTTTAACCTAAGTACAACCATCATTTATCTGATTTTAAAACATGTATTTATGATGGTGTATAAGTTATCAAAATGTGAGTCCTCCTTGTGAATTAAATTCTGAAAAAAAGTTTCTCACCAACTAGAATTGGCCAGAGGTCTTCAGTCCCAAGAAAGAATTTCATGCCAATGACCTCTCCAATAAGAACTCCCAGGGTGATGGACAGCTGGTTGCAGGTGCCACAAAAACCCCTCAAGGACACTGGAGAAATCTCAGCAAGATACAGAGGTGCGACAGCTGAAGTTAAACCTGAGTTTAAAATACATATGCTTGTTAAATGAAGACATTGTGAAGGATGATGAAAAGAATGTTATGTAATGGTGCATTAATTAAAGTCTTTTGGTGGCACAAAAGATATTTAAACTTGTATTAACTGTTAAATTTTATCGATGGCTTCATGGTGTACACATTTCTTTGTTCATTGTGATATCCTGAGGTATGATCTAGTTTTTGTAGAAGCGGTAGCAGGCAGCCTAACCCCCACCCCAATTCCACCTTTTTTTTTGGCTTGTTTTGATGTCAGCATCACCAGATGACACTCCTTCTCTGCCACACCCTCCCCTCCTTTGATTGAGAAAAGGTTGTTTAGTTCTAATTTTTTCTTAAGAATGCTGTCAGGTGATGCAATTTTTTTGTTTTCCAAGCTGGGAGAGATTTTTGCTAATTTTCCTAGATATTTACGAGACTTACTATACTTATAGGAGGCCTTATAAGATTTTACTCTTTTTTAAAATCATGGATTACACTTTGTCATTTTCTGTGCTGTAAGTTAAGATAGTTTTTATTTCTGTATATTTGATTTTGTATTTTTTATATAAACTTAGTATAATTAAATTGAATATTATTAATTATCACTTGGTATTTTTTTTTTCTTTGTATACTGGTTGTAAGTCCTTTGTTACACATTGTTCAACGAACGAGCAAAATCTTAAAACAGATTAAATTTTCAAAACCTTATAACGGTGCATAACGTCATCCTAAATAAATTAGGAATGTAGCATGGACTTAACAAAAATAATAATTACTGAGAATACAGCTCTTCATTCATGCAGAAAAGAAAACCAAAGAAGAACGATTAGTCTGCTAACAGGACGGCTTTCTCTTAGTCGCATGTATTTTTGCTCTTTAAGTCATTTTACGATGCTTTATGTGATGAATTTCTACAATTATAGTTATAGACATTCTGTCTACTTAAAACTTGGAATAAAATACTGAGTTATAGCCGTAATGAAAACTGAAAGTTTCTATAGCCTTACTCCAGCAACAGGGCAAGAAAATGCTGATAAAAATAATGTAAATGTTTCTTAGAAATTCCATAATACTGAAGATGGTGATAAAAATTATTGTGGGTTTATAAACATAAAGTAGTTCCATACAATAGTTATCACCATTTTCCTACTTACCACAACATACCCCTGCAACAACACGACCCACAATTAACATCTCAAATGATTGGGCTGACTTGCTGCAGCCCTGCAGGGCAGCACAGGCAAAAGCAACAGCATTGTTGAGAAGCAGAGTGTTCTTTCTGCATTGTTATAAACGTTTTGAAAATCAACAGTTAATTTTTTAAACCAAAGAACTTCTAATAAATAAACATAAGTGTTGGCTAAAACAGTCATATTTTACAAGTTATGTTACTCAACAAGTTCAATAAGCAAAAAAGAAATACCAAAGTTTTTGTGGCCAAACACTTTATAATTGCTTTTGAAAACTTTATTATTATACCAAGAGAATCATATTAAGACTTATTACAAACTGATAAAAAAAATTGTGTAGACGGAATAGTTCTGTAGGCATTCACATTCCCAGGAGGACTATTCAACAAACACAACCAACCAGGTTTTTTAATTCATGATAACAAGTATTGAAAGTTATTGTTTTTGTCTTTGTTATGGATCTGTGCAGAGACAGCGACAATCCCATATCTGATCTATGTTTTCTGGCAGCCATGTTAAAACTTACTCGATTTTAAAAATGTAATTTATTTCAAAATAGATAATGAGGAATCCATCAAATTTTGCGGGGGAAAAATAAAGCACATGTCTAAATGGTGTCTGAAATTTAAGCTTTCGAGTTCCAGTAAAACATTGATGCATTTTGGCTCAAAGACGTTGAAAAAATTATCACACCAAGTTAAATAAAATGATAAAATACTAAAGCAGCTAAAATCTATCACCTTCCGTATTTCCCAGCAAAGTAAGCAGCAGACACACCTCCAATCATTCCCCCAACACAAAAAAATGCTACAGTGACAGCCCATAGAACTGTCAACAGTGAACTAGACATCGGTTCTTCATATCTGTCAAAGTATGTCTTATTGTAGAACTCTTTGATGACCTAAACAAACAAAAACCATTATTAAGATCATCAATTAGTATAATAGCTACTCAGCAGATGCATTTAAACAATTTCCCATAGTTTTTATACTGGTACAGTGTAAAATATAGCAGTTTTAAAATTACTAACCTCTTCAGGGGCATTCAGTATAGCAGTATTAAGACCAATCTGTAAAGGACTTCCCATGATACATGCCAAAATAGCCAACACCAGGTGAGACTTTGAAGGCTATTTTACATGGTGTTTGAAAGATTAAACAAACATTAGAAATCTAAATAGAAATATTAATTTTTTTTAAATAACACATAAGAAATCATTTCAACATACTGCATTCAGATATATTTAAATATACCCCAGTTACAACCTGTTTTTTTTCTCCATCATTGTTTTAATTAATGAACTATTTTATCTAACTGGCTTCCATCTGTCTTTGTGAGATAAAAGTGTTACTTCTTTTTTTTTTTTTAAATCAGTTTAAGACTTATGAGGCTGATATTGAAGTGGCCGTCTCAGCTGCACTTCTTGCAGGAGAACCTTGACTGATGTTTTCCTTTTACCTTGCACGCCTTGCACTTAATTTGTTTTGCTATCTTTCCTGCAAGGATTGCCTTTCATGCAAAGTATGGGAATCGCATTTTCACTAGTTGGAACACTCATCAGCGATACTCTACCATTCGTTTATTTTTTTTATTTAATAATGCAGCCAAAAATTATAATATTCTAAGTCAATATCACTAAACTAAAACAAGTCTAATTCTAATAATTTTAGATGTTAAAATTAAATTTAAAATAACTTACAGTTTCTTTAATTTTAATAAAACCTTAATTGGCCTATTTAATTTTAACAGACAAAGAAAACGGTCTGGAATACCTTATCATTTCTTTTGACATAATTTCCACTCTCTGAAGTTGATCGACTGTAAGACTTCAAATTCACTGAAGTAGATGAATAACGCTGATCACTAAGCAGTGGTGCAGTATCATCCTCCATTTTGACCCGTCACATGACTTCATACCCTAATACTCCTAAAATACTTAAATTAAATTTCGCTTTATAATTAACAAAAATAATAATAATACATTAATTAATTTAAAATATAACTATGAATCATTTTTTAAAATAAATAAATAAATAATCCAAATTATCATCTAGCTGATTTAGCATTTCAAAGGAAACATCACTGACACTAATAATTGGATATCTTAGTTTTTCTTTTTGTGTTATTATAAATAAATATAGATCTATACATTTTTTTTAAAAAATGAAATTGTATGAATAATAATTTTATAAATTTTATAAGTAAAAATTAATTAAAGCCCCACTCTGAAGTGAATGGTACTCAGTCCACTGACCACTGCTTTAAGAAAGGAAGTATAGTTTAACAAACATATCTATATTTATATTTTTAAAATAACGTGATTGTGATATTTTAATAAATATGTTTGATAAACATTGAAAAGAGTATACTTTAATTAAATATGACGTAGGCCTAATTTAAATAAATTGTGTATTCATTCATTTAAATGCCCAAACTCCTTAATAGGAAATTAGTAAAACAGAGTAAGGTTCAACCCGAGAAAGGCATTCAACAAAATAACGAACGTAACATCAGGAAGCCTTCATCAGAGAACAAACAGAAAACAACAGAATAAACTAAAAAATTAAATATAGCACTTAGTAACCAAGAGGGCAGCAAGTGAATTGAAAGCTTTATCACAGACCAACGCCAACACTCTTATAATTCCTTCCTATAAATTTCACAATAATTTGATTTTTAAATGATTCAGTTTATTGTTTCAATTTTTTGGAATTGAAACTTAATTTACATTTGTTTTACTTAACTATTCTATTTCAAGATATTATTTATCCTATTAAATGAAGATATTCGGATAATTAGTATTTTGTTTTTTTTTTAAACGGTTTTCCTAGCAATGATCCATTTTTCTTTTCATCGCTCTCCTTAAACAAAGATTAGTTTGAAAAAGAAAAATGGCTGCCCAAGCTCCACAACAATCGGGCTCAACAACTAATAGTGATACCCAAGAAGAAGATGCTTCAGAACTTCAGTTTCCGAAAGGTTAGCTTTGTAATGTAAAACTTTCAACTTCCCTGGTAACCTGTTAAGCTTCAATAATTTGTAGTTTTATTAAGCCTAGTAGTTGAATAATTCACCGTTCTTAGACGACATATTAATTATTAATTAAGTTAGTTCAACTTGACTTACGAGACTTATCCTCAAATAAAATTTAGTAATAACCATTTAATCAGTAATTACTAGTATCAAAAGTGTATTTAGTTAATTTATTAGTAATCTCTACTACTATTAGACTGATTAAATTACTAGGCAATCCTCTGAATGTCCGCACTGTAGAAATTGTCGGGCGGCCCAGATAATTGGTGATGTTATTTTTTGAGTTTTTGAATTTTATGTCAGTCACTATGATTCTGAATGAATAAAATTGAGTTGTCTAATTGCTTGTAATATGAAATAAAAGTACCATGGCCAACAGACAGCAAGCGCTGGTTCATATTGCAAATAATGTAATTGCCAGAAACGTACTGCAAACTTATAACACAATGACGAAGGCACTGTTATGACAACATGCATTGGTTAGAGTGGGTTGAAAAATACTGTCTCATAACTGCCAACCTCCCATGTCTTTTAGCTGACATACTGAGTCACCTGGTGGTTTCTCATGAATATGCAGTATGTGCAATTGGACATGCAGTACACGCACCTGGTCATTTTTTGCAAACTGTCGGCTTAACACACAGAAAATCATCATAATGATATTCTATTGGGTATATGATGTGAAATGCAAACATTTTATGCTTTACGAAATCATTGAAAGTTTGGACACCATTTATCAACTAAAACAACTTCTACAGAATTGAGTGTTTGAATTGGTTTCACATTCAACTAGGTGGAACATGTCATGGCCTGTTTCCAAGCTACTTGTGTGCTTTAGCAACAAAGAAAATGTTTTCAGACAGTATCAGTACTTCTTGAAGTTGTTGAGTGACAATTATCACATTTGACCATGAACTTAATGTAAAATTTCTGAACTGCCAAAGTAACTAGTAACTGCTCATCCAATGTGTTTTACTAGTGTTTTGAATTAGGGAGTGGCGTTCGGAGGAGTGCCAATTTATTATCATTAGTTTATTAGTATAAAAACATCTGGCTTTAATGGTCTAGCCACATGGTATACTTTAGTCCAGTATTACCCAAAGTGATTGCTTTGTAGACTGATCCAAAGGGCTTTTTCGGTTGGTACAACATATAACAAGAGAGTTAAATAATTTAATAGTCATAACATAAAAAACGTATAATGCTATGTACTTGGATAAATCATTTTTCTGCTAGTGACAAATCATTGCAGAGTTACATGGTCCTTGCTCAACTTTTTGTGCACTTGAAAATGTAAAAAAAATATTGAATAAGCTTTGGGAACAACTGTAGTTTGTGGTTACCATATTTTTCGGACTATAAGACACTACAGACTATAAGACGCACCTAAATTTTTAAGCAATTATTTTAAAAAATAACATTTTTATATTAATTTCAAGTATAAGACGCACCTGAATTTTTTAGGCAAGTTTTCGAAGAAAAAGGTCAGCTTATAGACCGTAACATACAGTATTTCGCGTTAAATAGGTTTTGTGAAAAATCATTTTAAAGAGAATTGGAATTTTTGTTTTCCTTTTGTCCCATTTAGATAAATTTTTTTTTATTGTATTAGTGGGAATATCATCTGTTAATGATCTTACCAAATGTTATAAAATACACATTTAAAGAGTTACAGCTATGATATATAGGCCTAGCCTATATAAAATAGATTAATCTATGACCTATAAGTCTATTGCAGTGAAACTATTTTCTGCCAACTGGAGTTCCATTCATTAAGCCTGCTGTAACTTTAAGGTTGCATCAGTACTATAATAATATAAGATTAGCTTCTAATATGAAATGGCTATTAATTTTATTAATTGTTATATTACAAAATTTTACATTGTTGCAGAATTTGAAAATGCAGAAACTTTGCTCATATCAGAGGTTCAAATGTTGCTGGATCACAGGTAACAACAATCATAAGTGTAATAAATTTACTCGGCTATCTAAAACATTCATTCAAAGTTCAATATCAAATTAAAATTTTGCTAGGATTCATTGTACCGGTACTGGCAGTTTTATAAATTTAGGGTCCAAGAAACTAAATATCGTTTTTTTTTTTTTTTGTTTTTTTTTTAAAATCAGAAAACAACAGAATGAAAGTGCTGAAGAGGAGCAAGAACAGTCTGAAGTCTTCATGAAAACATTAAACTAATGTGAAAGATTTTGCAAATTTAAAAACAGAGAGATAAAAAAATAAATATCGTTTTTTTTTTTTTTTGTTTTTTTTTTAAAATCAGAAAACAACAGAATGAAAGTGCTGAAGAGGAGCAAGAACAGTCTGAAGTCTTCATGAAAACATTAAACTACTGTGAAAGATTTTGCAAATTTAAAAACAGAGAGACTATTGCAGCTGTGCGGAGGTATTTATGACATTTGTATAATTTGTTTTGCCACTATTATATTTAACCTTTTACCTTTAGACTGATTTAGGGTATTTAAATGTTCTGTAAAGAAGGCGTAGTGTTGAGTTCAAGAGAAACAAACTGAAATAATCTTTTTTTTTTGTTTGTTATTTTGTAACCCTTAACTTCCCTCTTATTTATTTTTTAGCTCATTAATGCAGAAAAAATTACACAAGTTTGAATTAGCAGCTTTAGCAAACCTTTGTCCAGAGACAGCAGAAGAAGCCAAATCTCTCATACCAAGGTTGGTGGAGAATTTTATTTCTAATTTACGTAATTTAATTTAAAATCCTTTTTCTTTGTTTTATTCAATTTTAATGAAGAAAATTTACACTAGGAAATATCAATGGTCAACAGCTGAATTATACCCACAATAATAATTGCATTAAAAATTTATTAATGATCTCTCTGTTATTATAAATAAATTCTATTTTATTTCCCTCTAGAATTATTGTCCCAAATTTTTCATTAATAATGATAATTAGTTAATCTAATTTTAATGTTTTGCTAATTTTTTCTTTGAAAAATTGGAGTTTTATCAAAGCATCTAAATATCTTATATTCTAAATAAATTAGCAGAATATAAATTATAACCTTTAATGAAATTATTTTGTATTGTTATCCCAGATAATGAGATAAGTTGCAATATAAACTTCTGACGCTGGCGGTGCTTTTCATTAAATGCACTCTAGAAATATGAATGCCTTTCACTTTGCTTTATAAAGACTTTTCACTTATATTATACACTATGTTGAGCTGAAGCAATCTGTTCTCTGTCACAACTTTTTCTCAGATTCCTGCCCTTCCTATCTAACCAAACTTCTTTCTCTCTATTCACCCCTTCGACATCTTCGCTCCTCCGCAGACACACATATTCTGTCCAACTAAAACATATGGTGAACGATCTTTCTCTTTCTGGGCATCCAAAACAATGGAATTCTTTGCCACTACACATCTGCAATATACCAACCACCCAGGCATTCAAAACTGCACTCAAAAACACATCTCTTTAAACTATACTACCCTGATTGATTCCCCTCCTCTGACCGATAAATGATCTTGTTGGCTGCCGTCTATGGTTTGCCTTGTAAAAGTCCTGGGGTTCATGCTGTTCTTTATTTCATAATTGTATTTTATTTTAATGTCATGATTATGTCTCTTTTGATAATATTTTTATGTACAGCGTGGTGAGCCCAGCCCTAGGCTGGGGTACCGTGCCATGAAAGACCACTAATTATAAATTATTATTATTATTTAGTGGATGTATACTGTATGTTCTATGAGATAAAGAGTTTTTGACAGATTCAATAAATGTTTTTATTTTATATTTAGAATAGATGCTTCACAGTTGTTTTTAAGTTATAATTTTGCTTTCATTGTCTCAGTTTGGAAGGTAGGTATGAGGATGACGAGCTACAGCAGATTTTGGATGACATCAAGACAAAGAGGAGTTTCCAATATTAAAATTTGAAGGATTCCGCCATGTTCAAGCAGATGTTTTTTTTAAAAAACATTTTCTAATCACACCATTATCATTTGTATGACTGTGCATAAACTGTTTGAAGTGTTTGTTATGAATTTAGTAACTTTGTTGAATGATATTCATCATTAATAAACACATTTTTGTAATTTAAGTTTTGTAAGTTTTATTACAGTTGTAATTTGTATAAGTATAAGTATAATTTAGAGACAAATAATGTGTTCTTTAATTATTTCTTTTTAAAAAAATTTAAGAAAAAACAACAAAATTTGGTATGATAAAAAAATCAAAGTGAACTTTATTTGTGACAACATAGTTGTACAAAAAACATAATTTACTAAATTTATACATCACAAATGGAGATAGATATCCATTATATACCACACTGCAAAACATACATACAACTATGTCCCCTTGACAAACCAAGTACCGGTACTACTTCTAAGTGACACATGGAATACCACAGACAAAGATAATAAAAGCACCATGGCTCTAAAAGGGTGCTTTACTACATGTAAATAGATGAGTTTATTACATAGCACTGTTGTTTCTCTTAGATAAAAACAAGGGACTCATTCTGAAACTAGGTGCTTTTTTTCGTCTATGTAGCTATTCCTCAATAAAGAACATACAGTAAAGAGACAAGGTCAACAGTATATTTATTTCAAAACATTCTCAATTATAGCATATTTGGTTATTTCCTTCATTTTGATGGTAACACAAAAGGGTTTCTTTCACTTTTCATCACGATGTTTCTGTTGTTGATTCTGATGATATCTGAGGAAGAAAAGAAAGTAATGGTTATATTATTTCAATGATAAATAGGAAATTCAAGAGATGGTCATTCAAACCTCATGGTTCTATCTGATTAAGCATATTTTTACATCTTGGTGGCTTCTCACTGAAGATGACATATAATGTGAAATATAGGAACTGTTTCATCTCTATTTATCATTTTGAAACTAAGTAAAGAAGTAAATATATAATCATATATCAGTTGTTCCCACAGTATGTAAAGCCGCCCCAAGTTTCTTCGCAGGGGTGCCACGGCCTCATGCTTCTTCACAGGGGAACCTTGATTATAGTATAAAATGTGATAAATTTTATTTCCAAATTCAATGTGATAAGATGCCACATCTAGTGGACCTGGTGAAAACCAGTTACTAAGTATTAACTGTTTGGAAAAGTCTCTACAAGTTGGGATAAAATAGTGTTCTTCTATAATTAAATTTTTATGTTTAATTTTTTTATTTCCAAATCCTCTGATTAAAAAGAATATTTCGCAAAGTAATTGTCATAGGGACCCTTGGGACAACCTGGATTTAGCAAGGGTGGAGAGAATTAAAAAAAATCACTGACATTGAGATGATATATGATGCCATTTTCAAAAGATATGACTTAAAGGCAGCCAAAAAGATATTGAATGTGTCAATTATGGGTAGAAAAGCCCCTGAATTGTGGGAGTAGTTCCATAGAGTAAAGACTCTCCCCATTAATCAGGAACTTTAAGAGTATTATTGGAGTACATAAAAAATTTGGGAGGGAGAGAAAACCGTGTACAATTATTTAATAATTTTCTGTGATATCCCAATTTTTCTTAACTCAAAATAATCAACAGCAAACCAACAAAAATCTTTAAAAACTAGAAAATTTTAAAGTAACAAACAAATTTTAAACAAATTTTAAATAAATAACACTAGTTCCAACACAGATTTAGTGCAAAATGCTACAGCCTTGCATGGCAAGCTAGCTAATAAACAAAAATTCATAAGCAGAGTAACAATTTGGGAAGTGTGTATTTGGACATCTAAGGAGTTCCTCATCTATCTCATGCCAACATGAACAAGTCAATCATTTGTGGGGGGAGGCACCTGTAGTCCTTGCCCCACCCCCCTTCCACCACACACTCCCCTTTCCACCACACACAACCCCCCCCCCCTTCCACCAGACACACACCCTTTCCACTACACACACTTAACAATTATGAAGGTGGAGGGCGGGGCTGGATCGGTGTTACAGGAATCCCCCCTTCCCCCACCCACCCCCCTTTCCCCCCCACACACCCCCCCCCCCCTTCCACCAGACACACACCCTTTCCACTACACACACTTAACAATTATGAAGGTGGAGGGCGGGGCTGGATCGGTGTTACAGGAAAGAGCACTGGGCCAAAGGTTGAAAATTCTGTTTCACTCTAGCAGTTATCTCGTAAGCACATCATGTCATATATAAATCAATATGAAATGTATATACAGCCACTGTAAACATTCATCAAAGTGAAAAACATAATCACATGCAACTATTATTTTTTTTTAGTTCTTATGGATTGGAACAGCTATTACAACAAGATCAAGATGGTTCGCCAGCTTTCAGTAATGCTATAAGTATAATTCCCAGGGATAGAGAAAAAATTAAATTATTAACTCCATTTTAAAAGGATACATTCTAATGCAGTGTTATAAATCTAACAAGGAAAAGTTATTTTGTAATCCAATTCATAAATCTCCATTACATGTAAAACTTACAACAAGAAAGATTGTGATTAAGTTTAGTTATCTTTGATCTTACAAGATCACATTGTGTTGAATAACTTGATTGGAAATACTGTATTAATTTCATCATACTCTAAATGTGATCATTGTATCAGAAAGTGAAACACTCATTTGAACCATTATCACATAGGTAATTTGTTCATTAAAATTGATTAAAAAATCTTTCTCTTTGAAGCTTCTCGACAGATACCATGTTAATGAAACAATACTTGGTTGAGCTTACCTTTTTTTTTAAAAAAAATGACCACTTGGAATGGCAAATGTATTATTCTTTTAAACTTGTAAAGATAGCCAGCTAAATCACTGCTATTTTTAAAAAATGAGGGTGACCTATCAGATATGTCTAATTTTACAATGTTAGCAGCTGATTGTTTAGGTTTTTTTTAAATTTAAACTAATTTTAAAATAATTGAATTTAAAAACAAAAAAAACTTATTCCAATTCAAATCATAACAAAGTAACACAATGAGAAAGAAAAACAACATTAACCAGATCAAATCACCATTTGTTGTTCATCTAGTGTTCTCTACATCTATGATATCTACATCAATCTCTTCCTCTGGGTTTCTGAAGGAAACAAGGTTTCCTATCTTGACTTGGCTCCCTGCCACAATTACATTTTAGCCCTTCTTTCTTTCTTTCACAACACGCTTCTGAATCTTGAATTTTACTGCACCGCTGTCTTTTGTAGTAAGGTGTGCTCACTGTTGTATCTGAAGCAGGTGGGGGTGACTTACCCCTCATGGCCATCTTTAAAATGTACAAATTTAGTCACCAAACTTAACTGACAATGTCTTTCATGTTTGAAGTAACAGACCATCTTTACGATAGGTATAGTGGCGTAACTTGACTAAATGCCACCAGGGTTGTACATGCCCCTCCCCCACCCCAACACACATCATTTATATAATGTTATAAATAAACCCCAAAGTCCTGGATGAGGCGGTCATCACCTCTGCACCCTCACTAGGTCGGCCGCTGAAAACATAATGTTCTGGTAGAAACATTGAGTTATTTTAAGAAGTAATATATACTAGAATATGCACCAGGTGTACTAGTTTTTTTTCAAAGTGGCCCGTTGTGCTACCATTAAGACCAGTGAGCAGTCTCACCAATTCTTAGAATTAACTTAACCAGACCTGCACATTTGTTAACGCCAACCTCAGACCAAAGGGCTTATACTTGATCATCATGATGATGATCTTTCATGGTGTAGTATAACAACTGGGAGAAAATCAATGCAAGGGAAAATGTAACTATAATTATCTGTAATTTATTTTCCTTCCAGGATCAGTTTCCCAATCACTTAATTGACTTGGAGCAAAATTCCAACAAATAATTGGGCAGATTATAATTTCAACTGAAATGCCAATCCCTACAGCAGTTAAGACCAATTATCATGATTAGCCTATTCTTAATTTGCCTTACCCTTTTTGCTCCTTTAAGTTTAAGGAAGTTTACAGAAATTTTTTTTTTTTTTGTTACGCATCTCATGTTATGTATGAAAAAAATCAAATGTTTATTGATTTGAGTCATATAATTATAATACCGGGTACCTAAACAAACAAAAAAAATCACAGGACTTCCTCTTTTAGTAGAAATGTCTGATGTAAACATTGATTTAGTGTCAGTACTAAGAGGTTGAAATTGCAATATACAATCCATATAATGCTATTAAATTGAACTCCTATTCCTGGATGAAATACTAATTCACCTACACTACAAGATGCCTGAGAGTTGTTCATTATAATTTAAATTTAAGCCTTTTCTCAGCCTTTGTATAAAAAGATCACATAGGTAATTTAAAATGTTCTAACATCTAATAATCATGATGGCAATTACTCTCCTTAGTGTAACTAGTACTTAAAACTTATGTCCGCAAAATATCTCAAATGAGGCAGTGACATAAAAAGTGAAGGCTAGCGTAGAATAAAACTTGTGTTAAACTTAGTACAATTTGAAGTGTGTGACGAAAATTCGATGTATTCATGGAATAACCATCACTGTTCAAAGGCTTATTACATGCTCTCCATAAAATTCAATGCCTGGCTTTATGATGTCTGAGATAAAAATATCCACAACATTTAATGTGTTCAACACAAGCAATTCTCCGTATTCCACACAACCACTTGGACTAGTGACTTATGCTCAATATCTGTTGGCCCAAGAAGTTATTCTCTACTCAAACCTGATCATTTCCATATTTGGCATCTGCACTAACACTGTCAATCTCATAACTTTTCACAGTGTTGGAGTAAAAGACAGTGCTCCAAATATCTCTTTTTTCGCTATCACAATATCCGACATGCTGTACGTGCTACTTGTGTGTGCTGCTATGATCACAAGACTCCTCAGCTATGTCAATAGTTCCATAGATTTCCCATTGACAATGTTTGCTTATTTTCTACTCCTCTACTCTGTGATGGTCAACAATGCAACATCAGGTATGACTGTGTATTTGGCTATTCAGAAGTGTTGTTGTGTGGCACTGCCCCTACATTTCAAGAATACATTCACACCAAGCCGAACTACACTCAGCTTATTTCTCATTGCTGCGTCCATCACGGTTCTCCACACACCAAGCTTAACTTTACATAAAATTGGAAGACAATGGGACACCCTGACAAATGGTAGCAAATTGATGGCATGGATAGCCCCCATTAGTAATGAAATGACACTGCTAGATAATGTATTCTTATACAACATTCTACCCTTGGGATATCAATTTACTGTCATATTGAGTGTTATTGTTATGACAATCAAACTGAAGGAAGCTTTGAAGTTTCGGAGTACCCTTTCAACAGATAAGGAAGTACCCTATAACCAATTATCAGGAAAGGAACTTCAAGTTGTGAAATCCGTAACACTTGTTACAATAATGTTCATTATTTGCCATTTTCCAATATTGCTTTTTACTTATGTTCGCTTCTTTGAACCAGAACTCGATAATTTGAAAAAATATGCCTATATATATGTCATTGCTAATAACCTAAGAATAACATTACAGCTCATTTGTGCATCAACAAATTTTTTTATCTATGTACATTTCAACTCTAGTTTTCGCAGGCATGCTCTAATAATGTGTTGTACCGTATCAAAAAAGTTATTAAAAAATTAACTCTATTTTAATCATTTGTTTCACATATATAAAAGAAAAAAAAACGTTTGTGCTATACAAAATTTCTTGTCATGTGCATTTTTTTAAAAACAAATTTTGTAAATTAAAGTAAAAAAGAAACTGTTAAGTAAACCTTTAATTTAATAATACTTAATAATACTAATACTCATCACATCTATTCAAACTATATGTTAGGTGAAGAGAAGAAACTTACCCCTGTTGTCTTCACTTTAACTGGACCTTTGAACTCATGGTTGCAGTCTGAGATACCCATACCCATGCCAACACCAACACCCAAAAGAACAGGCCAGGGCTTCCCTTAGAGATAGGATTAAAACAACATTTAAACTTTGGTAGCAAAGAATATTTGATGTGTTTTTTTAGCTCCGTAGTGTTATTTTAAAAATGTGTCTATCTAAAATATTGCTTGTCCGCAAAATATTTCTCTGTAAATTTTATTTTTGAGCTGGCAACCCTTCTCCAATTCTATATCAAATATGTGGGGTTTTTTTGGCGTAAAGGTGTGTTTTCAATACTAATACACATATGAGAATATTCCATGTACATAATTTTCCAGCCAGAACTGATAAGATACTTACGTTTAAATAGCAATGCAGAAAACACAATTCCAACACCAACACCACCAACTAGATAGAAAAATAAAACAATTTTCATTCCATAATGTAATTTATTTTATTTAAGAAGGCAATGGTTTGTGAATTTTATTTTATAAGAACAGAACCAATGAATGTGTACAATTTTGAATTGTGCAGTAGTTAATAAATAGTGACCATATGAATTGTAAACACTATTGGGGTTCTTTTTAAATTTATTTTCCAACAATGGTAATTAGGAGGTGCACAAATTTATTTTTTTTTAAATTAAGTCATCTTGACTATTCTTAATATTAGGTAGTTCTAGTGTTTCCTTTTTCATTTCAACTATGGCAATTCTCTATCTGTAACAGTCAGGATTGTTGCTGTTATCACTGTTATGTTTTTACATCTGTTGATTTTTAACCTTTATAAAAAAATTTAACACTTTAATAAACATGTATTTTTTTGTAGGAATTCTAATAAACTTTCTGTACAAGCTAGTTTGTCAACTAGTTAGAAATAGAATTTGGTCAAGTGTTGCATTATCAAAGTTATAAGCACAAAATAACTGATAAAAATTACAGATTGATTTCTTAATAGTTGTTAGAGGATCTGAATTGTTGAGTAGACCATTGTGTATATTTAAAATTTGATGGTTTACTAACTCTAGAATAACTAAAGGAAGCATTTTTTATTATTTTATTTGTGTATGATTCAGAAGGTTCAGAGATAACTTTATAATTTTTTTTACCAATAACAAATACCGGGTCCTCGATTAATTGGATGACAAATTTATCAAAACAGTAATGCAGAGTGATATCTTGTCAGCTAAAAACTGGTTACAACTAGAGTAGCACCGGTAAGTTAATTGGCCTCTCTACCTCAGCTAATGTTGATGGCTGATTATTGTATTTTATTTTCAAAATGTCTATTGTAAATTGACATTTCGTTGTAATTTATTATACGATTTCAAAATTAATCAGATTTATAGGTAGAATGGGGAGGGGGGGGGGGGGGGGGGGGGGGGGGGGGGGGGGGGGTGTGTTTTAAGGTTAAAGAACTATCATGACTGGATGAAAAAATGGATATGAGCAGCAACCTGATGATTTGCAAACATTATAACCTTATGCATAGACCAGGAACTTCACATCTGACTGCCAATATGAAATCCAAATCCTCCCTCCTCAGCAGAGTAACATAAAAACAACCAGTGATGTGGCTAGGCCTGTGCCATCAAATAGTCAGCCACTTACATCAAAGGCAATGTCAGCACAATAGCTGACTGACAAAGCAGCGCCAAGGAAAGTCTTAATCTAAGTACCCCTCAGATTTAATTCTAACACTAATAATAATTTGGTATAGCCATTATTCAAGCGGCTGTGAATGGCTGCCCATGACAACGTTTTGCACACTGCAAATTATGATCATTTATTCGAGGTTCATTCTAAAACACAAGATATCAAATATTTTTATGTAAATAGGGGCAATAATTAAATATTTCCTAAGTATTGGCATATTCCACCATTTTAAAGGGGGCATGGCCCACACCTGGGTCGAAATTAGGCTGAGTGACCTTATGGTAATGAAGGTTACATGGACAAGCGTAATGAACCTCAGACACAACCTAAATCAATGAAGATTGAATTGGCACACATACAATCAATATATAATGCTTTGCAGAATTTAATATGAAAGACAAGATATCTACATTTCTTCAAAAATTTTTGAGGGAAAGATGCCTTATATACACCTATGAATTTCTAAAACTAAGGTTGATCAAACAAGGAAAAACAGACTATTGGAATGTAGGTAAAATGTCCCCTATTGTGAACATGTGGAAGAATACCACAATTTTAGGGACAAAATAGCCCTTTTATTGATGGAAAAGCACCAACCCTCCAAAAAATAAAAACTTTGATTCTTCTGTGCCGACACCCATTTCCCTTACAAACTTGCTTTACCAAAGTACCTAATTAAAGGCCGCCACATCTTGTTCAAGTTAAAACACATGATAATCGGCTCATAGCTTACATTTACAGACCTGTTTACCCACAAACTCTTAAAATATCATCACAAAATCATTCAATACATTATCTTAATTGTTACAAAATAAACACACATTATATATAATGTGTACACAAAATCGTACATTGTACGCCAAAATCGTAAGAGTACACAGGTCTGCATTTAACCCACGAACTTTCATCTGCCGATTTTCTCTTCTCATACTGTGTCGGCCAACAAAATCGGCTGATAAAAATTGCATTGAAAGAATAAGTTCCAGTCCAATATTTTACACCAAATAAAACTACTTCCTTTGCTTAATAAATGAACTTTTATTTTTCGCTCTTCAACCAAGATGGCGGCCAAAATCTAGTGCAGAAAGCGTGTTATGAAACGACTGGGGAGGGGAGACCCCTCCCCAGACCCCCCTTCCCCCCCCCACTTTCAATACCAAAATCCAAAACATAATCTGGGAATATGTTAACAACCGGTTGGAACAAGATTTCATGTGAATAATTAACAAAGTTTATAAGAAAAGTTAAATTTAAAGTTTTTATGTTTTTAATATTCTTACTAAGAGTAGTGTGGGAATTAGTTCGAAATATTAATGAAAATAGAGAAATTAATTTTCTTGTAGGGTACTTTAAAATTATGCGTACATAGAAAGGAGTGCTTTAACGTTACGTCACTTGTTGTCTTCTTTGATGTGCTCTCTGGGTGATGTGCGCTCTGAGTGTCCGGCGGTAAGTTCAAAATTTGTTATTGTTTTTCATCTACAATTTGGTTTTTTGAAAGATAAATTTGGGATTTGGGGTTGGAGTTAGGGATGAAAACCCAACTTACAGTTTCATGAAATACACTTTTACACACTTTATTGCAGGTTCCAAATAAAAAAATGTGCACAAATGATGGGAGCACAACTGCAGGCATTAGGCCAACATGTTGAAAAGATGGTGGCGCAAATAAAATATGATAATTAGCCAACCAATGATAATTCATAATTTAAAATTATAAATAATCAACCAATTAAAAATTTAATACAAAACACGTCATCAGCACTCTGACAATCAAATAAGTAGTTGATAAAATGCATTCTCCCCAACCATCCCCTTTAGTAAGAATATTAAAAACATAAAATTTAACTTTTCTTATAAACATAAAATTTAACTTTTCTTATAAACATAAAATTTAACTTTTCTTATAAACATAAAATTTAACTTTTCTTATAAACTTCGTTAATTATTCACATGAAATCTTGTTCCAACCAGTTGTTAACATATTCCTTCGCCGCCGCACAAATATTTAATAAACACCCAAATGACTTATAATGACATCATGGGCATGCCGACACTTCATCCAATGAAAATAAACAATTAAATAAACAAAGGGGAAAGACTCCTGCACATTATTGAGTAAAAGCCGCCATGGGCACTGTTCTCAGGAATATTTTGATAAATTCAAATGAGAAAAAAAAAAATGTTCAGCCTAGTAAAACTTAATTATTAATTCGCATCTGAGAATTGATCCTAATTTCCATTTGTGGTATCAGCTTTAACCACAAGACCAATGGAAACCAATGGTCAATGGTAATTTTTTTGCCTCAGTGTATTAAAAGGTCCATGGTTTTCCTAGGCATGTACACCAGCGGTAAACCGCAGTGTACTATCACAGGCCTAGGTCCATAGACGCATAATAAAGAAATGGTTTTGAGTGAGTAATTTTTATTTATAATTAATAATTACATTGCATGCAGAGAGAAAAAAAAACTACTTACCTTTTTATAAGTATAAAAATTTATTTAAAATGTAACACAAACATTTAATTAGTTCAAATCCAATAAACAAGTTTTTTTTTTTTTCTTTGTTAGTATCGGTATTGATTTTTCCATTTTTTCTGTTCACATTTTTCATAACATACCCTTAAATAAAAAAATTTTAAATAGAAAGTACTGATGTTATTTTAAAGTTTTTTTGTTCATTGTGTTGTATATTGCATTAAGAATGTCTCCTGAAAATTTGGCAGTATTATCTTTTAAAATAAAAAAGTTTCCGGCAAAATAAGGCAGAAATTTGGAAAGTGGGTCACACGTTTTCACAGTTAAATACAAAGGACAAAGATAAAAAAAGAGGGTTTTAAAAAATCACTTTAAAAAAATCATAACTCCACTTCTATGAAAGATAGAAAGATGAAATTGGTGTTGTTGTAAAGCTTATAGCTAGCCCTTTAAAATGATGTATCATTCATGGCAATTGGACAATATTTAAATTTTGTGTCAAAGTACCTAGCATAGATGATGCCATAGTTCTGCTAGGTACACCGCCAGTACGCAGCACTACATTTCAATTATTCTATATCGTATTATTTTAAGGTTATTTATACCCGTACCGAATTTCATTAGAGCATTGTACAAACAGCGGTCGATCTTTTGTCCGTAGACATCCTCTGACCTTTTGCTATTGCCATTGGAGCTCGCCATTTTGTATTGTTGCAGTTAGTTATAAGTTGATCTAAAATCATAGAACATGGTACAGCTTGTAGCTACACAAAACAATATATTGACTTTCTAACAAGGCAGCATGAACAATAAAAATTTGATAGATATTAAAAATTCATTAGGTGAATGCATTAAGTACATAAACATGTTTTATAATTTTTGAATTAGCGAAAAATAGTATAAAAATTTCTTTACCTAAATTTAATCTCTGTATTTCATGTTTTGTTTTTGTAATTTTTAAAGTCTTTTTTTTTAACTCCCACCGATTCCCGGAAAAGCATAACACAATATCAACAATATGGCTGACAGGAAAATTACGAACGGTTTCATTGACAAAAATGATGCCAACATAACAGAAGTACTGGATGATGATAAGCCAGCCGTATTAAAAGATTTTGATGGAGCCACCCTAGAAATTAGTTCCAATGACATTCAGGGTACAGATGTCGTTAATACCAATATTCTCACCGAAGTTGACATTGTTCAACCAAGAACTGCAATTGGAAAGAACAACTCAAGTACGGGCTCTTCTACAAATCAAGGCTTTTCTAGAGACAGGCCTGGTAGTGTTATTGGAAGAGCCAGTGTCAGATCGGGAAGCAGTCGTACATCAACTCGACCTAATGTGGTTCAAAGTGATGTATCTGCACGTTCCTACTACTGTTATAAAGTGAGGGACATAATTGACATATTATTATGTATATTATAGATACTTCGATGAAACAAGGGAGACTACTATTTTTTTTGTATCGGAAATGGCTGTCGGCGCCGAAAAATCCGAGTTTTTAATTTTCCGATGTGTGTGTCTATTTATTATTAAATTAGTTCTTTCCACATATATTTGAGTTCCGTTTCCGGCCTTATAATTTGGAAGACATCTTGGCCTACATTTCTAGCCAGCTATTTTGCTTTTTTCAATCGACCTTTATTTTGAAAATCTTTGGTATATATAAGGCATCTTCGCATACAAAATTTTTTGTGAAATAATAAGATAAGGTCCTTTTTGATTAAATCTGTATGAGCATTAGATATTGATCTATATCTGTGCCAAGTTTCATTGATGTAGGTCGTGTCTCACGTTTGTTACACTTGTCACAGTGACCCATATCACCATAAGGTGGCTCAGCCTAATTTCGACATGGCGTGGGCCACGCCCCCTTTTTAATGGCGGAAGTTGCCGATACTTAGGAAATATTTAATTATTACCACTATATACATCAAAATATTTTATATTTTGTGTTTCAGAATGCATTTTGAAGACATTTAAACTGGAAATGTTTTAATTTGAGCTTTAAAAACCCTGCAGAGTCCATATTATAAATGATCAGAATTTTCCCTGTGCAACACGTTGTCATTGGCAACCATTCACAGCCACTTGCATAACGGCTACGTCGTAGTACTATCTCAGAGTTTCATTCATAAGAGTTTGCCGTGTGCAAAAGCTATTAAACCATTGGTCAGGGAAAGCTTTTATTAATTATTCATGTGCCAAAGTTGAAAGTTTAAAATAAGTCGACCCTAAACAGTATTTTAGTGATAGGGAATGCGTTGCCTTATATAAACTATATAGTCATTGCGCATGACGCGATCAGTGGAATGAGGTCACAGAATGTGGAGATGAAGTCCATGTTAAAAAATGACAAACCAAGTCGTACTTTAAAAATTCATAACTTTAAAACTACAACAGCTAAAAATATGATTTTGGTGTTATAATTCTGTTTAAAATTAGCTCTATTCAACTGTGCCATTGGTTTATTTTTAAAAAATGTTTACATTTTTTACCAAAGTATCTAGTATATTATAATTATAGATTTATTGTTCCTATATATTATGTAGCATTCATTATAATATATTATATATATACTATATAGCTAGGCCTAGGCACTTCTATTGTAAAGCATGAGAGACTAATTCAAAGTTTTCATGGGAAGTTGAAGTTGGTGCACAAGACTCTGAGTTTTTAATATTTGAACGTTGTTGCTTTTTCATTCGTGAAAGTAAACGGCAGGACTATTTTTTCATAAAATTGTGATATTCATCCACACATTTACACAGTAGTCAACAACTTTGTCTAAATTTCCATTGTAATTTTTTGCGTTTTAATCGATCCCAATATTACAAATTTTTTTGATATATATATATATATATATAAGGCATGTTTCCCTCAAAAATGTTTGATGAAATTAAAATAATATGTCTTTCACATTGAATACTGAAAAGCATTCTCTTTTGTATATGAATATATATGTTTGCCAGTTCTCATTGATGTCGGTTGTGTCCGAGGTTTCTTATTCTCATACCAGTAACCAATATCATAAGGTCACCAGTCTGGTGTCACCGGCAACAAAGATGGCAACCATGTAAAAAAAAAAGTAGTGCAAAAACACGATAGAGCGATGGGTAACATCAAGCAAACAATTAACATGATTAGGTCTATAAGTAGCTACTTTGATACTTCTGCGCAGGTTGAAAAATGATGATAAAACTTGTGTTAGGCCTTCTATAAGGGCTTTCCTATCACTTCAACTAAATGCGTTCTTTGTCATTGTTGTTTATAAATTATTGATTTATTCATCAGTGACATTGAAACTTTCGTGTTCCGGTTACCCTACTGAATTTTAGTCTTAATTTGGGTTAGTGATAAGGCTGGGGATGTGTTCCACAGTAATATAAATATAAGTCATTGAGGTTTCCCATAGTGAACTTCCAGCTATACCTACATATTCAAAAGATTTCAATTTTAGCTGTTATTTGTTTGATGCTAGTTTTTTTCTCTCCTTTTTTATGTATGTTTTGAAAGTGGGGGGGAGGCATTCTGGGGAAGGGTCTCAGAGTTGGACAGGTACTGATGATCAACTCTTCCACCTCAGCCAGAGGATTCTAAATGGCTTCTATGATAGAGTGTGGAAGAAAGACTTACTTTTGAAGTTAAACAATACATGGATTCATGGCAAGCTGTACAATTGGTTGAACATCTTTCTTACTGATGGTACTATTAAAAAAAAAATAACTTAATGCAACCTCATCAAACTGTGTCCTGAAAGAAGGGATCCTACAAGGTTCATCACTGTGTTGTACCCTATTCCTAATGTTCAATAATGACCTTCTGGACGAGCTACAGGTGGAGAAGGCACTCTACACAGATGACCGTGTGATGTGGCATACTTGATTACACACAGGTGTAAGTGTAAGCGCAGGGCACCTTAAAAAAGACTTGATTAGACTCAGTATATACTGTGAATAGTGGAAACTAAAAGTAAACAACCCCAAGACACTATACTAGTCTTCATTAGAAGCCATAAGGGAGCCTAGCAGAACATTACACTTTCCCTACATGGCACCATACTCCAAAAAGAAAACAACCAAGCACTCTAGGTGTCCAGTTAGATAGGCAACTCAGTTTAATTAAGCATGTTAAAAACTATAAAGAAGTTCCTTAAGACAGCTAAATCTTGCTAAGAAGCTGGCCAGTGCCTCATGACTACACTGCACCAGTTGTACATAGGATATGAGTGATCAGTGATGCAATACAGCTTTGCAATCCAGTTAATTTTCAGCAAGACAGTACAGAACTCTCTAGAAATAGCATACATTAATGTTCCTAGCATACATTAATGACCTACCCGAGAAACTGACATCACAGGCAAGACTGTTCGCAGATGACACAGCAGTGTATAGGACGATCGCCAACAGATCTGACCAGGACCAGCTACAGCAGGATCTCAATCTGTTAGCTGAGTGGGAGATGAGCTGGGACATGGAATTTCGCCCTGCCAAGTGCCAGACACTATCAGTCTCTAGAAGTTGTACTCCTCTACACTACCAATACGAACTGCACGGCCATATACTTGAGCAAGTTTCCTCCGTAAAGTACCTGGGTGTTACCATTCAAAGAGAGGTCCGCTGGGACGAGCATATTAACAATGTATGTAACCAAGCAAACAAGACCCTAGGGTTCTTAAGGCGAAATCTAAAGATTGACAACTCCTGTGTGAAAGAAAGAGCATATAAAGCCTTTATCCGTCCGATTTTAGATTATGCATCTTCATTCTGGGACCCATTTACCCAGAAGAGCATTGACAGCTTGGAGGCGGTCCAGCGACAAGCAGCACGCTTTGTCCTAAACCGCTACAGGAATACCTCTAGTGTTGGCAGCATGCTAGAAACCATTGGAGAAACGACGACGACAATCCAGGCTCTACCTGATGTACAAGATAAATAATGGGCTGGTCCACTGTTCCAGTAAACAGAAACTCGTCCCTCTCCCCCATAGACAGCGATGAGGCCATGACAGGCAATTCAGGCTCATACCAGTAAGAAGCCAGTATAGGAGCTGCTCATTCCTGCCCAAGACAATCAGGGACTGGAACAATCTTTCAAAAGGAACGGTTGAGGCGACAACACTAGACACATTTGTGTCTATTGCCTCAAGCCTTCAAACCCCTAGTGCATGATTTCCTCAACACCAGTAACAGAAACATTGCAAATCCCATCTACATGCATAGGAGCCAAAATGATCAATAAATTGAACCTTGGGCCCTTAAGATATAGAAGAAGAAGAAGAAACACCAGGCAGTCCACTTCATCTCAGGAGGTCTAAGAGCTGCCCCAACATCAGCATGTGAAATATATACTAATGGGCAGTAATTATGAAGCAGAAGTGACTTTTTCAAGTGATATTATATTCTCCAATTGCAAATCAATACATAAGGCAGCAGAAAATCAAGATCTTACAACGGTAAAATCACTACTTCTGAAATTAAACACCTGCTTTGAAACCTATACAGTCAACGTAACTTGAGAAAGGGTATCAGGACACCATAATATATCACAAATGAAATAGCTGACTACTAGCAAACCAGGGATCATCTAAGGAACAGCTAAACATACCTAGATCACTCAACACTGCGAACCAGATCATCGGAGATAACAAAAAAGAATTATGGTTAAATGTGTGGGCTCTAGGTTCAACAGGAAGTTGTGTTTTCACACACATGCTCATCCCATTTGCTAAAGATCCAATTAAGCCGCCGCCAAGGACATGAACATGTCATAATCTTTCCCCTGGTCACAGAATACTAAATCACCAATGTGCCCCCTCTGCAAACATCCAAAGGAAACAGTAACAAATCACCTCTTCCTCTGCCCAGCACTTCAAGACTTACTCCTGAACTATCTATAAAAAATTAAAAAAACGAACACCCAGTACACCAACAAAGAACATCTGCGGAGAGTGTGTAAATTCTTCACCATGGCTGCAGGGATAAGGGCAAATGGCTATTGGATTTGAGTGATGATGATTGTATTATCAACACAGATAAAGGGCAAGAATGCTCCTCAATGAGTCGTCAATTAAAATATTTAGATCTTTTTGGGATATTGAAATGATATTTTCCTTTTCATTACAAGTAAATTTAAAAAAAAAAAAAAAAGATTTTTATTCTTGTATATAGAGATTTTTTAAAAACTAAATTCTTCATGAACAAAAGTAAATTTAAAAAAAAACAACAACAGTTTAGCATGTTTATATTTTCCCAGGACAGCCACTTTGAAAAAGCAGTGAATACTGTTAAAAGTATAATCAAGCCGGATCTAGATGGAGAGTTAAAATCATCCTGGCTGCTTACAGAGTACGCTCTTTTAAATTATTTTTTAATTAATTATTGATTTCATGTGAAAGAATTTCTAATTTTTAAATTAGTGAGGGAGCGAGAGAAGGCAGCGTGACCTATGTTTCAATTAATTTTGGAAGATAGAAATGTCTGACCATAGTTATATAGCAGAGTTTTGACAATTATTAATTCCATCCTTTTGAATTATTTTGTACATATTTTAATTTCTAATATCATCCATAAAAGTATTTAAATAATGTTCAACAGAAACAAACAAATTAATTTTAAACGAAATTTTTTGCATTGCACAATTCATTGCTACAAGTTGCTTAAGCAATCAGTCATGTATTTATGTTTTTTGTTTATTTTCTGAAGGATTGACCACTGGGACTTTGAGCGAGAGAAGATAATTTTGCTTACAGAGAACTCAATGTTTGTTGTGAAGTATAACTTCATCAATGAGACACTTTATGAATATCGTCGCATCATGCTTCACATTATCAACTCCATCTATATTGGCGACTTTCAATATCCCAATGCATCATTGATGCCGTAAGTCAGCTAAATTTGTAACTTTTAGCTTCAAATCCTCAATAAAATCTGTTCTCTGAAACAATCGATTGACTAATTATAATTTTTTTTTTAAACTGCTATGGTGGGTTGTTTTTTTTTTGTGGCTTTTTTTGTACCGGGTATTTAAATATTTTTTCACTCATGGCTCTAAATTGCATTTTAAAAACTTGTCATTTTGATTATTTTATTTTCATTAAAATTAATAGATAATATTTATTAAATTTCAATTCAACGTAATTGTATTTAAAAGTGTTTTGAATATTTCAATTTTATGTACTTTATGTATTTTATTATTGTTAAATATATTTGTATGATGAATGAGACTTTATTATCAATCATCAATCAAATGAAATTCATTAAACTCTTATGCTGATGTAGAGGAAAATCAGGAAATTTATGTATAATAATTATCACATAACATCATACATGGTACGATGATTAGGAAAGTAAAAATGTAGCTCACACACACATTAAGTGTCCATACAAATACAACATTAGAATGACTGTAACATCAGTCAGAAGATTACCCCTCTAAATCATTAGTGTTCCATTGAGAAATAGACATTTTGAAAGGAATAAGAGCATTATTGATATATGAGACAATTAATAACTGAGGATAAATCAACAAGTCTATGTGAAAATTTAAATAGAGAGTAAAAGATTTCTTTTCAGAAAAAAAAAAAGAAAAATCATCCCACTTAATTTTTGCTGATCATCCCCACATGGATCTAAATGATCGGTTGCCGTGACCATAGCTAAGAATCTTACCCACCTAAGAGTGCAATAACAAGGTTTTCTTATAAAGCAATGTAACTTATGAGAGTAGCAGTTATATTGGAACATTCGAGAAAAAAACATCAAATAAATTGGATCATTCGAGAAAAAAAACATGAACCATCAGATAACTAATGCATTTTTTTTTAAATACATGTTTATGGCCAGAAAGTTAGTGTAGGTGTTATTTTATAATAATAGGTCCTCTCATAAAAAGAAAATTTTTGTGTCATAGGGATCGCAAACATGGTGGCATCCAGATACGCTGGGACAGGGGTGAACAGTTGACTTTTGGTCAGAAGTGGAATCCTTGGTGCTCAGACATACCCTGGGTCACCTTGTCTCATCACCCTCTTATATACAACAGGAAAGAAAATGAAACAGTGACTTACAATGTGGATGAGTTTTTCGAGTCATTGGTTACTGCGATTAGCAAGGTAAATACATTTTTAAAGTTCTCTGAGGGCCAATTCTTTAACTCATTGTTCACAAATGATTAGAAAAATTTCACAGATAATTTTTTTTAAATATTAGCTACCATTTTTGCTGTTACTGGTATACCAAAAATCTATGCTGATCGTCATGTTGAAAAACTCTTATTGTTGGTGCATTGTACTTTTATGCCATCATACACTGTGAAAAATCAAAATTTGAAGGGAAAAAATCTGATGCATATTACTTTAGTTTAGTGGGGATTAGCTTTCAGGGATGAAGTAATATAGTTGAAATATGTTTTCTGCAATGGTGATGGTATCCATGAACATCTCTGCTGCACTGCTATTGCTTTACTGTATATCTATATATATAGACTGGCGTTGGGTGGGTTTAAAGTGTTAAGATAGATAAACGGAGGAATAGATTTACGTCGATTATAATTTAACAGGCAGTATGATATTTTATGTTGGTCTGGCATTGTCAGCATCGTAAGGTACCAGTGCAGCCCCTACTTTAGTTCTTAGAAATAGTTTTTTGAAACTTCGAAATGTATTTGTTAATACTGGTATAAAAAAAAATTCATTTCAGAATTTAAAAGTGGTTTGGGATATTTAAAAAAAAAAAAAAAATCAACAATATACAGAAATTTTTTTTTTAAATTTTCGAGTTGCATTTGTGGACTGGCAATTGTCATGCAATAAAGCTGTATACATGATTTTACTGTTTTATAATTGCAGGTTTTCACAGAGAAACGCCCAGGTGAGAAACTAAGAGTTGTTGAAGGCCCTGTTTTGATTGAGAGCTATGCAAGTCCAGCATCACTTGTCTTCAATCAGGGGGGCATTGGTTTTTTCAGAGACAGAAATGGTGTTAGTTTTTGATGAGCTCAGATATGGCCCTAACGAGCAAGTTGATGTGATATTGAATCTTTTATTTATCCCTTGAAAAGTACCAGAGAGTTGCAGGTATTAGATTGAATGGACTTGTCTGCTGATGATGACCAAGAAGACAACAGCTGTTATTAACCCTTTACAGTCCAAGCCTATTCAGTTTTGTCTACTCCCAGCGCCCATGCAAAGGGAGATAACTCCATTTTAAATGAAGGTTCTTTATCTAATTAATTTACAGATAATAAACTAGAAGCAAGAAAATACAATAAAAAAAAATACCTAAATACAAATAAATGATTTAAGCAAAAGTTAAACATTAAAAAAGTTTCAGGGAACCTGCCAATTTTATTTGTGAAACATTCCCAGACCACTCATGATCTTGCTGATCAGTTGGAGTGGAATTGATAGGTCCGTTGTCATCGATGTCTCTACTATTACTATTATCTTCTTCACTTGAATCACTATTACTAGTAGCATCATTTAAATTAATGTCTCTATCGGATTCTTCACTATCGCTGCAAGACTCATGAAATGGTGAAGCTTCATTAGGCCTAAGTTCTTTCAAAATTGTATCCAAGGCTTGGAAAGCCATTTTTTACAGCAAAAAAATCGCAACTTTTTTTTAAAAAATCGTAGAAAATTAGCCCCTAAACAAACCGCGATCAAACTAGTATCAAAATAAATGCCAACAACCAGGCTTTCTTCCAGTAGAACTATAAATCAGCGCATTTCGGGCGCATCGAACTGTAAAGGGTTAAGAAGGGCCAAAAATGTGTCACAGGCCAACCCACCATTGCTAAATGTTTGACACCTTTGTATAGCAGATTCAACACCTTTGTATAGCAGATTTTCTTCTTTTCTTTTTTTATATCCCACCTTATCAGTTTTAATTTTCATTATGCAAAAGTTATAAAAATTGTTTTGTTTTACCCAGCCTTAAATCATAATAAATACGGTATCCATTATTCTAAGCCTCCTCCAAATTTTAAAATAGAAGCATAATTTAATCCTTAATTGTAATCTTGATGTTTTATAATATATTTAAAACGTATGCTGTGATGTAGTTTTACAACATTGTTTTAATCAACGGCAGTGTCATGACTTTAAAAAAAAATCTTGATGATAAGATGTCACAATTTATTTATGTATTTATTTTCTTGGCCATCTGTTGAACATATCAACATATATATGTTAAACCTTGTTAGCATTAGGTCTAAGGAATACTATTTATTTAAAATAAAACCTAATTTATTGGGTGATCTTGCATGTGGAGACCATTATTTTCATGGCCTGTGTAAATTGATGACATTTTAACAGTACGTCAGGTTCACCTTGCATGCAGCTTTACAATAACCATTGTATGAGGAGGTTCTTTAAAGTTACTCTCAAACCCCCCCCCCCCCCCC